AAGCTGCCCCCCTGGGTAGAGTGCTGTGGCATCACAGCTCACAGCAACCTCCAACTCCTGGGCTCAAGTGAGTCTCCTGCCTCAGCCTCCCAAGTAGCTTGGATCACAGGCGCCCACCACAACGTCCGGCTATTTTTTGGTTGCAGCCGTCATTATTGTTTGGCGATCCCAGGCTGGATTCGAACCCGCCACCTTAGGTGTATGTGGCTGGCACCTTAGCCACTTGAGCCATGGGCACTGAGCTTACATCGCCAACTTAATAAATAATTAAGTTTACTCATTTTATCTTGCTTTTTAATTTTTTTTTCTTTTTCTTGAGAGAGAGTCTCACTTTGACACCCTTGGTAGAGTGCTGTAGCATCACAGCTCACAGCAACCTCAGATTTGGGCTTATGTAATTCCCTTGCCTCAGGCTCCCAAGTAATTGGGAGTAGAGGTGCCGGCCACAATACCCAGCTATTTGTTAGAGATGGGGGTCTCGCTCTTGCTCAGGCTGGTCTCAAACTCCTGAGTTCAAGCAATCCACCCTTCTCGGCCTCCCAGAGTGCTAAGGTTACAGGCGTGAGCCACCATGCCCAGTTTGTTTTTTAATTTTTGATATAGTTACCTTTGTGTTTTTGATGTAGTTTCCTTTTTGAATATGTGAAATACTTACATAATTTCAAAGTCAAAAAAAAGTCTGAATTAACTTATGTTCATATCCCTATTTTCTCTCACTGTAGATAACTTTTGGTTTATTTCCCAGTGTTTTCTTTTGCAACTATAAGGGTGTGTGTGCTCACATCCTATTTATTCTCTTATAAGATATTAGTATAGTATATATATTTGTTGGCACCTTGCTATTTCATTTTAACACAAATTCCTGGAGAGCTCACTGTTTTGATGGCTGCATAGTATTCTGCTGTGTGGACACAGCTTAGTTTAACCAATTTATATATCTATATGTATGTTCATGTTATAACTTCGTGCATGTATCTTTTTCTTTATTTTATTTTATTTTTTAATTTTTTTGTAGAGACAGAGTCTTACTTTGTCACCCTCGGTAGAGTACCGTGGCATCACACAGCTCACAGCAACCTCCAACTCCTAAGTGTAGGTGATTCTCTTGCCTCAGCCTCCTGAGTAGCTGGGACTGCAGGCGGCCGCCACAACACTCAGCTATTTTTTTGTTGCAGTTTGGCCAGGGTTGGGTTTGAACCCACCATCCTCAGTATATAGGGCTGGTGCCCTACTCACTGAGCCACAGGTGCTGCCCATGCATGTATCTTTTTGTATTTTCATCAGTGTATCTTTGATATAGTTTCTAGGACTGTTGGATCAAAGGGCCAATGACTCTGTAAATTTTTTTCTTTTTCTATTTTTTTTTTTTTTTTGCAGTTTTTGGCCAGGGCGGGGTTTGAACCCACCACCTCTGGTATATGGGGCCGGCACCCTACTCCTTTGAGCCATAGGTGCCATCTGAGTCTGTAAATTTTTAAAAATATTGCTAAGCCTTCTATGATAAAGGTGATCCATTTTGCACTCCCATGTACAGTCTCTGAGAATATCTACTTCCTCACAGCCTTGTCAAAAGAGTACATCATACAACTTTTGACTTTCTTCAGTATTATAAATGGTATTTCTAAATAATTTTAAGTGTGTATTTCTCTTATTAGTAAGGTTAAACTTTTAAAAAATGTTTTAAGGCTATTTTTATTTTGTCAATATTATCTATTAGTTATCTATTGCTTTGTAACAAATTTCTCCAACATGTAGTGGCTTGAAGCAATACGCAGTCATTATTTCACAACTTCTATGGATCAGGCGTTTGCGCACAGCTTAGCTGGCTCCTCTGCTTCATGATCTTTCACAAAGCTGTGGCCAAAATGCCACCAGATCTTATCTGAAGGCTCAGTGCAGAAGGATCCACTTCACTGCTCACTTACACTGTGGATAGGATTGATTTCCTTAGTTCCTCATAAGCTATTGGATAAAGTCTTTAGTTTCTTGCCATATGAGGATGTCCATAGTACTTCTCACATGGCTGCTGGCTTCACCAGAGCAAATAAGACAGAGAACTACAGAGTGCCAGCAATGCAAAGAGTGCTGACAAGAAGAAAGGCACGTTTTTATCGCCTAGCCACAGGAGTCATCTCCCACCACTTTTGTAGGGAGGGGATCAAGGGTACGAATATGCAGAAGCTGGGGATACTCTGGGGAAAATGCGAACTGCCAGCTCACATT